CGGTTCGAACCCGGCAGAAATCATTTTTTGGCCGTGCCCCCGATGCAACCACCATGAATCTTTTGTTGCTCTCAGTCTCGGTCCCAGCAAGACTGCGTTGCGGGTATCGTTTTCATTTTGACGTTCAGCGTATCGAAGGGCTAGATTACATGTCGATACAGGAGAGTGACGGGATTTCACGACGGAGAGTGGCGGGGATGGGCGGTGGTTTCGGCGCGCACATGGCGTTCCATGTGAGGATTCCAGCACGCGACGGCGTTGCGTTCGCCAAAGAAGTCGGCGCCGAGCGTGGCCAGTGCCAGATCAGCATGCGTGTCGGTGTCGAACTGAGCCGGACTGGTGTCTGGGGATGGGCTGGTGAGACCGAGTTCAAGATCAAGTAGGTCGCGCCACTCTTGTTCGCGCGCGGGCGGGTCTGCATAGTCGAGATCGTGCGAGTCCGGTAGCGAGGATCGGAACACGCCGCGCGAACGCAGAAAGTCGTGCACCGCCTGTCGATCGAACCTCACGCTTGCAGGCTCGACCGATGTGCTCGGTGTGGCCTCGGTCTCGCTTGGTGCGGAGATCGATTCGAGTACTTCAGCCGCCGTTGGTTCGGCAGTACAATCGACCGCTTCGCCATCGCCCATTGCCGCATCCTCGAGCACCGCTTTATCTTGGACGCGCGGACTGACAGATTCGCCTCCAATGAGACGATCCACTTGGGGCGTGGTCGGCTGCGCAGCAATCTGCGTCGCAGCCTCAAACGCCGCAGTGCCCAGAATGCTGCGCGCCGCAGCACGAACCTTGGGTGGCTGGAGGAACACATTGCGCGCCTGGCGCAGCTCGGTCTCGTACTCGCGCAAGCTCAGTGCATCCGGTGGCCCAAACTTGGCCTCCTTGCGCAGTATCGTTCCGATCGAGCCGTGTTCCTTCAGCAGCCGCAATGCCGTCTTGGGTCCGATCCCGGGTACAGTCCGGTTGAAATCCGTCCCGCACAGCAGCGCAAAGTCGAGCATCAATGCGCGCGTCGTCCGATCATACGCCACCCCCTCTGCCGCTGCCTCTCCTTGCGAGTGCATCTGGACGAGTCGGTCCACCTCTTCCTGTGGGAAAAGGCCACGGCGGACACGCGTGCCACAGACCACTTCAAGCTTTCCCCTGCTTGCTTGGCCGAGCACGCCCGGGCTGCGTACACCGCCCATGAGACCGCGCAGCAGCGGCGCGTCGTAGAGCAGCACGTCGCTGTCCTCGCTCGCCACCAGGTCGGCAAAGCCCGCGCGCACGAGCGAGGCTGCGTACGCTTCGGCTTCGTGGATCCGCCCGCCGCCCGTGCGCGTGCCGTCGCCCGTCCAAAACACGGCGGTCTGCATGAGCGAGCACAGCGCCGCGCAGTCCTGGTAAATCGACGCCGACAGCGGCGACGTGGCGCGATCGTAGGTCTTGCTCAGTGAGTGATGCATCGCATTCAGCGAGGAAAGCGACGGCGGAGGTGGCGCGTCGAGGGTGGCCGAGATGTCGGGCATGCTCAACACGGGGGGCGGCTGCACAGCCTCGCCTGAGACGAGCTGTGCAGTGATAGTCTGGTATACCTGCTTTTCGGCCTGGGCAAGCAGCCGCTGGCCCTTGGACTGGCTGCTGGCGCCCGTGCGTAAGCTCTGCTCAAGCTGCAGATAGTTGGCATGCATGCTGTATGCGACCGTCTGCGGCCGCGAAGCTTCCACCGGCAGCTCTGGCTTGTACAGCCCCGCCGGCTGTTGCGTAGGGATGCTTTGGGCTTGCCACTGGTCCAGCAGCTCTCCGACCTGACGACGCTCGTCTTCGGCCAGCGAGGCGATGGCATCCAGATGGCTCTGGAGCTCCTGCAGCCTTCCATGGCGTTCGTGCTCGAGTCTGCTTCGGACGCGGTCGAGCTCGCGCTTGTGCTTGCGCTTGAGCTGCTCGCGGTCCTTGAGCGCCAGCCTCTTGTGCGGGTGGTCGAACACCATGATCGGCACAATGCCGTGCTGGCGCAGCGACGTCACGAGGCGGTAGAATCCGACCACATGACGCGATGGGTGCGGGTCGTCGGCAAAGTGCAGTCGCTGCACGAGCAACGTCGCGTCGATGGCGAGACGTAATCCGCGCAGCGACGAGAGCGCGAAAGGTGGCGAGATGGCTTGCGGCACCAGGCTGCGGATGAGCGGAAAGATGCCACGAATGCCGCTGCAGACCGGAGAGGCGCGCATCGCGATACTTTGTGCACGGCGAACGTCGTCGCCTCCGCCGGCCTGGGCTCCCTAGAGGCAGTGTTATCGGATAGCCACTCGAGACGAAGAATGTGGCTCGTCGCGTCGCATCAGTGGCGGTGGCGCTAGTTCGACGGCGTGGCAACGCAGACCACACGTCTTGATCCGGATTCGGGGCGGATTCAAGGTGAGCAGCCTCCGCGCGCTTTTCGAAGAGTTGTTTTGGCGCTGCCAGTCGTGGTCGGTCGTGTCGATGTGAGCGGTATGGAGACAGGCTGGGCGTTGCTTCTCGGACACGACTCATGCTCCTCTCATGTCAGGGTCCATTTTTTCCGACCTCGGCATGCAAAAGGCGCGTCGATTCGGCACTGTGGAGGTCGCAGCTGTCCAACACGCCGCCACGCGCAACGATGAAGAGCAAAATTCAACCGGCTCACAGTCTAAGAAAAAGAAAAAGAAAAAGAAAAAAAAGCGGCAAAAATAGTTGAAGCAAAAATAAAAAAGTGCAAAAAGAAATCTCCCAACGTGGGGCTCGAACCCACGA